AAGGAACACAGGTGAACCCTGAAAACATTAAGCTAATCGAAAAAAAAGTCAGCCACAAAAGATCTCATATTGCATTCTTTCAGTTACATGAAGTGTCCAGGACAGACAAATCCAAAGAGACAGAAAGTAAATTTGAGGACTGGGAAGGAGGAAAAATGGGGAATGACTACTGATGAGTGTAGTATTTTGGCACAGGGGGGCGATGAACACAGTGTAACATTGAGAGTGATATTTGTACAACTCTGAATATATTGAAAAGCACTGAATTATACATATTGAATGGGTGAATGGTAAGAGATATGAACTGTATCTCAATAAAGCTTCTATTTTTAAAAAATCTATTCTGAGATCCATTAACAAAGCTCCAAAATAAAACAAACTTCAAGTAAAAAACTTAACTGAAAATAACCTACTGAACAGCAGAACAAAGACCAATGCTCTTTTAAAAGAAAAAAGGCAACAAAATCCAGACGCTTAAATGGTAAAAATCATATTGCCCAATATCCAACCCAAAATTACTAAACAAACCAAGAAGTGTAAAACAATCAGGAGAATGTCAGTAAAGAAAAATAGACCCAGAAATAAAGATGATGAAGTTATAAGAAAAAGACATTAGAATAGTTATAACTATGGTCAAGTTTTTTTTAAGACAAACTTGTAAGAAGAAAAACCAGATAACAATGAAAAGAATCAAAACTTATCAACAAAAAAAAATACAAAAAATATGTGAAATGAATTCATCTTATGGAATTAACAGCAATCAAGCATTTGATAAGGAAAGATAGGTGAACAGAAAGATAATGCTATGAAAACAATCCAAAATATAACTTTTTTATAAATCAGACAAGAAACAGTACCTCAATGATTTGTTTGCTTATATCTAGGTCTAAAGTAAATGTAATATGAATTCTAGAAGAAGATAAAAGACAGAAAATATATTTAAAGATGTAATGGCCAAAATTTGACCAAAACCAGAAACCCACAGAACCAAGAAGTTCAGGTAACCTGAAGCAGGCTAAGCACATATGTACATACATACACACACACACACCCCCACACACACACACCCATACCAACATATGCTATACTCAACTTCTAAGAATCAGTGATAAGAGTAAATCTTACAGCCAGCAAGAGAAAAAAATATATATTACATACAGATGAAGTTGTATAATAAAGACTACACACTTTTAGAACTGATGCAAGTCAGTTAAACAAAAGAATATCATTAGAAAGCTTCAAAAAGAAAACTGTCACCTTAAAATTTTATAATCAGTGAAACTATTTTTTTAAACTGAAAGACTAAAGGCTTTCTCAGACAAATAAAAGCTGGGAAGAGCCACTGACAATAAATCCCCATTATAAAAAATAACAAAGTAATTCAAATGGAAGGAAAATGCTATGAGATGGAAACATGAATTTATACAAAGAAGTGTCCTAGAAATGGTAATACATAGATACATAGGTAAATATAAAATACATGATCTTCCTTATTTCTAATTTCTTCGAAATAAAAGCAAATGAATCAAAAATCATAAGAATGTATCAAAAGGACCATATTTGAAGAAGTAAAATCAACAAAAATACAAAACCAAAGGCAGGAGGGAGAATTGCAGGATCATGCTGGAAGGGTCTTACATCTTACACTGTCATTTATTGGTAGACTATGGTAAGTTAAAAAGTTTTCAAAAAAAAACTAATAAACCAATGGTAGAAATAAGTGAAATACTAAATAAGAGACAACTAATCTAAATCAAAGCAGAGAAAGGGAGAAGTATCAAAAAACATGAAAGAAATAGAAAACAAACAGAAAGATAGTAGATTTAAATCACACAATATCTACACTTACAATGGAATGTAAACATTTCAATGAAAGTCAGAGATGGACCCAAAAAAAAGCAAGATTCATTTTACAAAATTTAATACCCTTCTAAAAAAAACTCTCAGGAAACTAGAAATAGAAAAGAAATTTCTCAACTTGAAAAGGAATCTATAAAATACGTAGGAATGCTTTCCCCCTAAAATCAGGAGTAAGGCAAAAATGTCTACTCTTGCCACTTCTATTTTTACTATTTATCGTGGAGGTCCTATCTAATGTAATAAGGCAAAAAGACATGAAAAGTATACAGATTGGAAATGAAGAAGTAAAAGTTACAGTCTACATGAATATATCTGTAGAAAATACTAAAACAACAAAGAAAAAGACCCAGTAAAACTAATACGCAAGTTTAGCAAGGTCTTGTTAAAAAGTCAATAAAACTCAATTGTATTTCTATACACTAGAAACAAATGACTAGAAATTGACTGTTTAAAAATTACAGCTTAAGATATAATACAAAAAACATGAAATACTTTAAAATGCACTGAACAAAATGTGTGCATGACCTACACAGTGAAAACTAAAAACCACTCCTGAGAGAAATTAAAGACAACCTATGTAAATAGAGACATATCATGTTCAGATTGGAAAATCCAGTATTAGTGAGATGTCAATTATCCTCTAATTGACCTATATATTCAATACAGTACCAAATAAAACCCCAGTGGACTGTTTTGTATAAACTGACAAGCTAGTTCTAAAATATACCTAGAAATGCAAAGGGAAAATAGCGTAAAGGACGTGAATAAGAATATAGCTGATAGTTTTAGACTTCCTGTTCTCAAGACTTACTATGAAGCTACAATAAGACAGTAAAGTACTGGCATTAAAAAAAAACATGTTAAGTCACTGAAATCAAGGAAAGCCTCAAAGATGCCATGGTAAGACAGTGGAGAAAGAATAGTATTTAAAGAAACAAACTGTGCTGGAACACCAGGGTATCTTTATGGAAGAAAGAGACAGAAATCAACCTTAACAGTTACCTCATACCATATACTAAAATTAACTGAAAATGGATCACAGGCCTATATATAGATGCCAAAACTATAATACTCAAAAGAAAACGTAAGAAAATCTTTCCAATCTTGGAACAGGCAAAGATTTCTTAGATAAGACACAAAAATCATCTAAGAATAACAGGAAAAAATTGTTAAATTGCAATTAATGAAAATTAAATTCCTATGTTCTTCAAAGCCAAATTAAGAAAACAAAAAAGGAGGGTAGGGGGGTACAGCTTAGTGGTAGAGCACATGCACAAGGTCCTGGGTTCAATTCTCAGTACCTCCATTAAAAATAATAATAATAATAATAAAATAAAATAAATAAACCCTATTACCTCCCCTCCAAAAAATTATTAAATAAATAAATAAAAGTTATTGTATAATAAAACACACTTAAACTGGACTTCAGAACACAATCAGTACCTTCTTATTAAAAAAAAAAAGAAAAAAGAAAACAAAAAGGCAAGACACAGACTGGGGGGGGGGAATATTTGTTAACTCATACATCTGATAAAAGACACATCCATAATATATAAAGAAGCGTCAAAACTCAACAATAAAAACACAAACAAAAAAATGTGTAAAAGATTTGAACACACACTTCACAAAAAAAAGATAGACATGAAAATAAGCCTTGAAAAGATACTCAGCCTCTCTAGGCATTATAAGGATACAAATTAAAACCACAGTGATATACTGTTACAGACCTACTCAAACATCTAATATTAAAAAGGCCAGCAATATCAGGTGTTAACAAAGATGTGGAGTAAGTAGGAAGCTCATACACTGCCTGTAGATATGTAAAACTGTGCAACTACCTTGGAAAAGAGCTTGGCAATTTCAGTTGCCATACCACTTAGCAATTCTACTTTATAAATTTATGAAACTAAAACACATGTCTACACAAAGATTTGAACACCAATATTCATAAGTAGCTTGTTCATAACAGCCAAACCTAGAAATAGCCCAATGTCCATCACCAGATGAATGGGTTAAAAAACTATTATTGATACAATCAATGGAAGATTATTTAGCAACAAGAAGGAACTACTAATACAAAACAACATGGATGAATCTTAAAAACATGCTAAAGAGAAGCCAAACTCCAAGGAGCACACATTGGATTATTCTGTTTGCATAAAACATTAACAAAAAGTCTTACTGATAGTAACAGGAAATAGATCAGTGGTTTGCTCTGATCATCAACAGGAACAGGGTAGGGTTAGAGAAGCACAAGGAATTGACTGGGAGGGAGAAGAGAGGAAACTTTTGCAGTGGTAGAAATGCTCTATTTCTTGATTATTGCATAGTTACACTTTTGTCCAAACTAATTAAAATATGTATACTTTATTGACTCCAACTGTATGTAAATTAACTCAATAAAGTTGATTTTGTTTTCAAAGGAACACAGCAGACATTAAATCACTCCCTGAAACCAAACTATACTAACAATGACTTAACCTACAGGTTCCCAAACTTTCTTGATTCATGACACTTATAGCATCTCAGTAATTTTTTATGGTGCTCTAGACCAAAATAAATACTAAATATTTCTGTTTATGAAGTAGTTTGAACCAACTACTTATTATTATTTATATTTTAACAAATATATTTTATATTTTAACTTAACATCCTAACAATTTACTAGCTAATTGAAAATTAACACACAAATTAAAAGGAAAAAAGTTTCCTTCATTAGTATATCAGCAAAATTATTTATTAATGGAATGTAATGGCACTACACAACTTCTCAAATTTTGGAATCAGATTTCAAACCTCCTCATTTCCTGTTCCACACTGATTCTCACATGGTACTTGTTTTTTATCACAGCAACTATTAAAAACTTAGCTGTGTAAAGATATGGTATGACCACAAGAAATGCAGCATAAAGTAAAGTTGAAACTTAAGCTAGTAGTTTGCACAGTGCCCCACATGGCAAGTACACTGTGTTTCCCACAAAGTTTCAAGTACCCTTTGGGCACCTGTGACTTCCCTGTGGTGCCCCTGGTTACTCCAACACACAGTTTAGTTACCCAAAGTAAACTGCCCCATGCATCACCCCCCTGTTTATGTCAAGATCAACTAACACATGTTAAGCAGTGAACAGCAAGTAAAGTACCTTGTATCCCAGGCCCAGCTGATAAATAGCAAAAATCTGAGCTGCATTAAGAGCTTCACTAAAAAGGTAAACTGCAGTCATCTGACCACAAAATACCCTATTAGCATCCGCTGTTTCTGATGAGCCCAGGAAACATTTGTCAAAGGTCTGGGAAAGAAAACAGAAAATTTTTTTAGAGAAAAAAAACCAAAAAACCATCTCCTCCAGAAATGATGACAACCTATATTGTTATAAATATTCTGTCCATTCTAAAATATAATCCAAATACATTAAAACAATTCACTCAGCATTTCAGTTCATCCATTCCCATTTGGTGTAGAATCAGGACATCAGAGAAAAAGAGATAAGGCAAATTATCCAAAGTACAATAAACAAAACTTGAAGATAAAGTGGCTGTAGGAAACAGCATCAGAGGAATCACTATGGATTCTGAAGGTTCATACTTGGTCAACCAAAGAACCAGACAGAAGAGCAGGCTTTAGAGCAAGGAGAAAAACACCAGTTAAGTTTGGGACATATAATAAATCTGTCTTTTCTGTGAACTAATACGGATGAAGAAGCAATTGCCAACAGGGTTCTATTAGTCTGGTGAGAAGCGAAAACTGTAAAGACAGATTTTCGCAGACATCAAGATACAAATAATGGGTAAAGTCATGGGGGCAGATGCACTCTCCCAAAAGGAATATGTAAATCTATAAAACAGGTGTATGTTTTTCTTCTAACATTAAAAAAAACCCTCTTAATATGATTCCAGGTTGCAAAGACCACATTTTAAAAACCCACGTGTACAACAAAAGCAAAAGAAGTAAAGCACTTCATAGCTCTTTAAAAGTATCCTTTTATACATGAAACCATTATGAAGAATGTTGAAAATACATATGTATTGACATTAAGGAATATAGAAAAATTTTTAAGACTTGGGTTTTGAAGACAAACCACCTAGATGAAACCACTGCTTCCCATGCTGCTGATGTTGGCAAAATGAAGATTACAACAGTACTTACCTTGCAAGGTTGGGGCTTACAGAAAATAAAGGTATTACAATGCAAGAAGCACTCAATAAAGGTTATGTAAGGAAAAAACAGGTTGAAAAACAATACACATATCCGACTCCTTTTTTGCATTAAAAAAAAATAAGAGCTAACACTCACTGAGCACTTATGCTGTACAAGGCACTCTGCCGATGGCTTTGTGAACATATCTCATTTAATCAACCTTCTGAGATAAGTACTATTTTACACTCAGTTTTAGATAGAGCAAACTCAGCCCTAATAGATTAAATAAGGTCATGTAGTCAATAAGTAACAAAGCAGGGATCTAAACCTAAGTCTATCTGTTATAACAACCTGAGCTCCTAAGGCTAGCATTTCAAAATATGTAAATATGTATAGCATAGGATATGAAAGGAGGAGTTAATGGTGAACGGGTGGTGCAAGTTTGTATTTATTTTCCTGATCTGTATTTTTCAAGTTTTCTATTAAAAATGTAATTGGGGGAAAAAAAGAACATTTGAATTTAATTCTAACCTATGGATCTCTTTTTGAATCCTGAAAATATTATAATAGTTACGTATAGCAGGTATGAATTATACCGAAAATTTATAACCATGCATCATCTAGTGCATTCATAAAAATGATCCAAAAATTTAATTTGATCAATGGACTGATGACACGAATTCTTTCAGGATACACCTACTGTTATCAATGAATCCTTATCTCTACCCTATCCAGAATAATTTTATAACAAGGGCTGAGTAATATCTTATGTGACACATTAACACAGTTCCACTCTATTAATATATATTAATATATTAAACATAGTAGCCAAACTATGATTATAATAATCCACCACTGTGGTATTCTAAAGTTTATACTCCATGTAAAATAAATTTTTCAAAAATTTAACTTTTTCAGAGTACTTACATCACTGGTGTTGACAAACCATGTTATCTCTCCATAGGAAGCAAGCTCACCATTCACGTAACATCGTAGCTCACTGTTCTTCCATCGATTATAAATGTGCACTATAGTTACCATATACCACTGAATAAGCAAAACAGTTTTAATAAAAGATAATGATCTTTCCAATAACTCAATCACATTGGTAATTAGTAAAAATTAAATGCTAAATTACAATTAAATCTAAAAAAAGACTACCTTTATTAAATTCAATATTCTACCTCCGGAACAATACTGATTTAAGGGAGCTTTCAACAGATAAGAGCTTACCCATTAAATTATTTTTCCCTTACCTATGAAATTACTATGAAAATTTTCAAATATACCCTTCAAAAGTGAAGAGTTTAGTACACTCTCTCCCACCACCTAGTTTCCACAACTGTCAACATTTTGTCATATTTGTTTTATCTGCCTATCTACATGTGTATGTATGCACATTTTGTTAATAAATCATTCTTTTATCTCTAAATTTAAAGGTACAAAAGAAAACACATAGTACTACTACCACTACTAAAATAACTGCCACTGACATTTTCCCCTTATATTGCCCTTAAACTCTACAAACAACTAAATATTCACTCTTTTAATTATTCAACTCAGAGCAGTTAACAATTGTCCAGCAATTTATACTTCATTTTCTAAAACAGTTTAAAATCAGAGTTGTGATTTACCACATATTATGATGTCAATAGCATTACAACAAAGCATTGTGAAGGTTAGAATACCTTGGTAACATAACTATGACTCAGTAAGATCACATACCTTTTGTGGCTTGAAATCAAATTTCACACAGTGTTGAAACCCTTTTCCTTTTGACTTTATTGATGTTATAATTAAACAGCCCCCAACAAAGTGAGCAGAATAACCGAGACCTTTGCTGGTTCTGAAACTATAAAGAGTAAGTTTTTCATTTCATCTCGAAATACTCTTCTCATTTTCAAAGTAAAAGAACAATACTATGTTACAGAAATACATACCAGTACAAATATGGTTTATCTTTATCCACATTGATGTTATTTACAGGATCCATTCTAAGCCACGTATGAAATGTAAAACCATTCTGGTATGGCCATTTGGCTATAGGAGGTAATGCAATAGCCTGAAGGAACAAACTCTGAGTTACTGACTCACACTGGAAAACTGTTACCGAAATCATGAAAATGAGACCTTACAATGTTATATGTATTTCTACTACATATTATTCTATGTCATGATTAAAATATGCAGAAGTAGTCTCTTTATCTGAAAGAAACTTTTAATAACTCCTAAATTTTCGAAACTGCATAGTAATGATGTTAATTTAGTTAAACAACAGAAACATTCCATGTGACCTGCTTGACACACTAATCTTATTTGCTTCATTTCTTACAGTGAATATATACAAAGAGATTCCAATTAAACGAGATAGGTAATTATATCAAATTGGAAATCCATTACTAAAATGTCAAGGTAACAGAACAGAGAAAGATGGACAAGAGGAAAGAAAAAAGTTAAGGAAAAAGCTTGAAATATAAATTTTTAACCAAATATATCAAGCTGAAGAAGATTCACTCATAACATTTTTTCATAACATTTTAAAATTTATATTCGTAAGTCACTATATAAATTACTTCACCACTTGGCTTAAAATTTTATTTAACATATCACAGTATGGAATGAAAGGGACACAAAATAGCCAAAACAATCTTGAAAAAGAACAAAGCTGGAGGACTCAAATTACCAAATTCAAAACCTATAACACAAAGACACAGCAATGAAGATTGTGGGGTATTGGCATAAAGATACAGATAAAGACCAATAGAGTGGCATCAAGAGCCCAGAATAAATTCTAACGTTTGTGCCTTAATTTTCAACAACAGTGTCAAGACAGTTCAATGAGGAAAGAATAGTGTTTTCAACAAATGTGCTAAGAAAACTGATATCTACAATATGAAGCTGATCACTTCTTTATATCATATACAAAAAACTAACCTCAAATTCATCACGGATCTAAATATGAAAGCCAAAACTATAAAATTCTTATAAGGAAAAATAAGGGTAAATATGACACTGGGTTAGGCAAATCCTTCTTAATTATGCACAAGCAACAACAAAAAATAAATGAACTGGACTTCATTAAAATTAAAAACTTTTGTGCTTTAAAGGATATCATCAAGAAAATGAAAAACAAGACAAAAGAATGGGATAAAATATTTGCAAATTATTTATCTGATAAGGAACTTGTATCCAGAAGAATACATAAAGAATTCTTACAATTCAATACTAAAAAGACAAATGCAATTTTTAAACGGACAAAAGACCTGAATGGATATGTCTCCAAAGAAGACGTGCAAATGGCCAAAAAGGACATGCAAAGATGCTCAACATAATCAGTCATTAAGGAAATGCAGAACAAAACAACGAGGTATAACTTCATACCCACTAGGAGGGCTATAATCAAACAGACAGACATTAACAAATGTTGACAAGCATATAGAGAAACTGGAACCCTCATAAATTGCAGGTGAGACTGCAAAATAATACAGCCACTTTGGAAAACACTCTGGAAGTCCCTCATGTGGTTAAACAATATGACTCAGCAATTCCACTCCTAGGTACATACACAAGAGAAATGAAAACATGTCCACATTAAAAACTAGTACACAAAGGCCCAGAGAGCAGCCCCCAAAAGTGGAATTAATTCAAATTTCCACTAATTAATGAATAATTAAACAAAATATGGTATATTCTTATCTTAGAATATTAGCCATGAAAAGGAATGAAGCACTGATACATGTCACAACATGAATGGACCCTGAAAACAGTATGGTAAGTGGAAAAAGCCAGTAACAAAAGTCCAGGTATTGTATGGCTCTATCTGTCTCCAGAGTAGACAAATCCACAGACACAGAAAGTAGAAGAGTGGTTACCTGGGCCTGAGAGTTTGGGGTGAAATGTGCAGTGACTGCTAATGATTGTGGGGTTTCTTTTGGGTGTGATGAAAACATTCTAAAATTGATTGTAATAATGGTTGCACAGCTTGCTGAATACACTTAATCATTCAATGTACACTTTAAATGAGTGAACTATATGATATGTGGATTATAACTCAATAAAGCTGTTTAAAAAAGCTACAAAGCTTTTGTTTGACTGTTATAACTTACATATACATTTATGTTTATACATCATATATACACATATACTCTTTTGTATGTATCAGATATTCCATAAAACATGAAAAACATCAGTCACATTTATGTAATAACACTACTGAGACCTTCAAGAGGCTGATTTAAAGTGAAGCTACATTAAGAAAAAAATTAAAGAATACATATTCACTGTATATATATGTTCTCTCTCACTGAAAAATGAGTAGAAAATGTGAAAGCTTTGTAAAAATAATTTATCCGTGAATACTTTAGTTTCCCTTTAAAAGCTATATTTAAGGGGGAAAAAAATGAGTCACTGATTATATTTAAAATATCTATTCTCTGAAAGTTCCAAAAGCTGCATAGCTGAACTGCCCCACTTTCAATATACATACAAGTAAATGGAATGGGCATATTATAATCTCAAAGAATTATAAATACTAAAAGTATAACATGAATGAAAAAAGGTTAATCTCATGAAAATACTTTTTTTTTAATGTTTGAGACAAATGATAAGCTCAAAGCCAAAAGAGGAAAGTTATTCTGAAAAGCTTCAAATCCAAAATAGTTACTGAGGAAAAATTATAAAGAAAAGATAATACGAGCAATAAAACTTTCCAAACAAAACAGTATATTGTGTGTGAAGCATTCAAATATCACAAATGTCCTTTTAAAACACTTTTTTTTCCTTTTGTAAGTATTGCCTGGCTACATAGGGGCCATAATCAAGTAAGAGATTATGAAAACAAAAGTAAAAAAATGAATAAAAGGTAAGGTCAGAAAAAGAACAGGCTGAAATATCTTCAAAAGTGTTTGCTTTTAACTGGCAGACCAATGTAATCATGAGGTGAAAAAGCCTTCATAAACAACACATATACATTATATAACGTAATCCTGTAACATTCTGAAACATCACTGCCATACATAACTGTCTTATGTATAAACTGGTTAACAGCTTATAAGAATGCCGAGACTGATACAATATGGAAACTCACAGGTTAGGAAAACTTGCCTTAGAAAGTTCTCAAGAGTTACTCTCATTTTATACATCACATGCTAAAGAAACAGGAATTGGGAAACGTAAGGCTAAAGAAAGATGTTCAGAAAGTAAAAGTCAAAGTATTACAGAAAAATTTCTATTTCAGAATGCAGAGATAAAATTCATAAGACAACACAGCCTATGTTGAAAAGAATTGGGTTCTTATTCCATTTCTGCCCCAAGGAGTGAATGAAAAGCTTTCTTAACTTCTTTGAGCCTTTATTTCTTCACCTCTAAAACAGTCAGGAAAAAGCAACATGCACAACTGCCGTGAGGATTAAGTTAGGTTGTGCAGAGAAGTTTCTACCTAACACAGAACCTGTCAGGAGTGTTTACAGGGCTGTATTTTCGGGAAGCAAAGGAAAGAAGAACTCCAAGTGATTTCCTCATTAAGATTTACTTACTGCAGCACTCTTTCCTGGAAAGTTGAAAAAGGCATCGGGGCCATACTTTTGAGGCATATGTTTTAACACAGACAGCAACTTCCCAGCATGTGGAGGCTACAAATATAATCAATAATTCATTAACCACACTATTCACCATAGAACAAAAATACCTACTTTTAATACAGCCACAATTTAATATACCCCAAAATAACTAAATAATTCTATAAGCTAAAAAGCATTCAAAATAACCAAAGAAAGGTTATTTTTAACTATCTTCAAGAAATAAACAATACTGTCTATGCCACTTTTTTGCACAAGGCGTTGGGTAAATATGAGCCAGTATCATTTGACACTTGGAACTCTTCTCCACTCTACACCAAAAATGACATTTTAAAATTACAAACTACATTAACTCACCATCCATACCTCTTTAAACCACTTCTTAATTTCACAAAAAAAAAAATTACCAGGCCCCATAGTTAAAGGCACTTTAAAAATAAAATATGTTAGGCTCATAACCACAGTAGGGGTTATTACTATCCCATTCTACAGAGGATGAATCTGCGGCAGAGGAATATGTCCAAGTTTACACAGGTAGTAAGTGACAGGATGGATCAGAATTCAGTGTGACTCTAAAGTCCATGCAGCTAATCACTACACTTTCACCTTTATGTTCTACTATCTCTCCTGTAGCTTCCCACTGCCTTTAAATAAAGACCAAAATCCTTAACATGGCCCACAAGATACTTTTTTTTTTTAACCTCCTCAGCCTCTTTTTGCATCTCATCTCCCCTTCTCTCTGCACTCCATCTACAATATCTTCTCTGTCTTCCTCCCATAATAGGGCCTGAGCACAAGCTAATCCTTGTGCTTAAAATATTTTCACTGGGCCGATTCCCCACTTCCCCTCCTTAACTAAATAAATCTTACCCATCATTCAGAGCTCATCTTAGTGGTCACTTCTCAGGGCAGTCTTCCCTGACCTCTGAGGCTGGATCAAAGCTTCCTATCATATTTCATTCTACAATATACCTCTACTATATAGCATGTATAAAAGTTGTAACATTACGTTTACTTGATTAATGTCTCTTTGACCCACAAGTCTCCTCTAATACATTAAACAACCAATAGCTAAAACAAAAAGGCACATTTATATTTACAAGGAAAAGCAAAGGACAATCAGATGTACGTTATGATTTTAATCAGATTACAAGCAAATAAGTGTAGTACATTTCTCTTAAAAGTTCAAAGTTCTAAACAGTGTCAAACTTAAGTGAAATCATTGGCTTGCCTTCATCTTATTTGGTAGCTACTCTAAATTTCCATTACTATCTAAAACAGTTCAGCAATCTTTTACCTAAATGTTAAGTGGAAACGTTGATCTTAAGTATTCAAGAAATTTTCAGTTAACCACACTGCTCAATTATAAAAGTATAGGAACAAGTTACTACAATCACACTTTTTTAAAAAAAATTCTAACGTGAAATTACCAAAAGTAACGGCAGTCAAAAATTAAAACATAGTATTATAGCATTTCCATCTAGAGAAATCATTCCTCAAAATTTCCTCTTCATACACCAATCAAAATAAAAATGCATTAGGATAAGCACTTTCTTCCACAGACACTGCTGAGAGATTGTACACTAGGAAAACCTTTCAGAAAATAACTTAGTCATATTTCAAGAGTCTTTAAAAATGTTTATGCCCATTGATACACTATTTCCATATGTGAAAATCTGTTCTAAAGTAATAATCAGAAAGGGAGATACAGATACAGATACAAGGATTTTTCACTGCACTGACATGATAGCAAAAGCTACATAAATATAATGTCTGAGCAAGGCCTTGCTCTTTTTTTTTTTTAAACTAACAATGGTTCATTAATTTTTTTCTCCTTTATCCACTACACCTATTCTCTTCCTACTCCCAATCCCATAAGCAATTATGTTAACATGATTCATCTTTTTTGTAAGTATTCCTTCAAAAATGTGTTTCTGTATGATTTTACTTACAATTTAAATGATGTTGGGTTAGATATATCATTCTCTTTCTTACTTTCTTCCTGCTTTTTGGTATCTATTCATATCACTCTATGCACTGATTCTAACTGCTATGTCGTAATCTACTCCATGCATCCAATACATTTTACCTGTTTACTCTAATAGACACACATGTTGACAATTCACTGCCATCAAAAATAATGCTTCAGTGAACATTCTCATGAATGTTTCCTTACAGAACTATGTGACAATTTCTTGGAACATGCACTCTCCTTAACTCCTAAGTCACTGGATATGGGTATAATTTAAGTGACTAAGCAGTGCTAGATTGGCCTTGAGTTTGGATCCACTGGTGTTCATTCCAACCAATAGTACACAGGTTTAAAATAACTCTAATCCCCCCAATTATACTTGCTATTATCCAACTTTATAATTCTTGATACTAATAGATATAAGGTGACATATCAATATTGTTTTAATTTAAACATCTCTAGTTATTAGTGATTTAGCATTTATTTGATTATGGGGTTTCTATCCCTGTAAATAAATATTTGTTCATATCCTTTGCTAGTTTCTTCTAGTTTTCTATATTCACCAATGTAACAAAAAAAGTTTTAATTACATATTCAGAATAAATACATTATTTGAATATAAATCAAACCCAAAATCAAACCAGTATATGTCTTCTAGACATGACACAGTAACAAGAACTACACTTACCAATTCACCATAAACAACTAGAAAACTGAACAAAATGTATGAAAGAAAACTGTTTTCAGGCATAGAAAAGAGGCAGGTAAAGACTGTGAGCCTTGAGAAGAGGAAACAAAATGAGCCATCAGAGGACCCTGACTTTCCACCTGGAGTCAATTTCCATATCACATTTCACTGCACAGGGAGAGGGAAACCAAAGAGAACCTGTAAGTCTCACTGAGTTGATGAGGTAGGAATTGGAAAAAGGATAGTGTGAGGTGGATAGAACCTTCAGGGTACAGTACTACAGAGGAAGGGCCTATGCAGAGAATAAGCTCCAGAAATCTGCCCTCACTGTTTGACATTAATACCAAACTGTTCATTTCTACCATAAACTCAACAAGATTTTGAAAGCTGTAAGTCAAAGAATCCCCAGAGCTGGTAGGGAGCCAAAAATTGTTGAGACTCTAGTAGGTATTATGGAGATAGTCTTGCACGACCTGTTGCCTCATGTCTGAGAATCAGGGTCATTTATAGGTAACCTAGAAAAGTCAGGCCTGAATAACAAGGCTGACCTAGCCCTAGAGTAACAGCCAATCTGGATCTACCAAAAAGACCTTTAAAACTAGCCTGAAAAAATAAAGTTAATCCACAAGTAACTTATTTGCCTCCAAAAACAGTCTAACAATCTTAAATGGAATACGACAAAATCTAGCACTGAACAAGGAATAAACTCACTTTGTCTAACATCACCATGTGTAAAATCACTAGCATAAAGGTGGGTGATAGATCAGTGGTACAGTGTGTGCTTAGCATGCATGAAATCCTGGGTTCAATCACAAGTACCTCCATTAAAAAAAAAAGGAAAATATGACTTATAAGTAAAAGGAGAATGAGTGAGCAAAAAACTGATCTAGAACATGACAGATTTGACAGAATTAGAAGACAAGAACATTAAAGCAACTATGAATATGCTACATATTCCCAAGGATTTAAAGGAAAACACAAATGAGGGGGAAAATGGAAGATATTAAAAAGAGCCAAATGGAATTTAGAGATAAAAAAATTTTTGAAAATTTTAATGAATATTAACACACTGCAAAAGAAAAGACCAATTACCTTAAAAACAGCAATCAAAGCAATCTAAAACGAAGCACAAAGAGAAACAACTAAAAAACAAAAGTTAACAGTTCTGAGGGACCTGAGGGACACTACCAAGACTAACACACGTGTAACTGGAGTCCCAGAAGGAGGGGAAGAGGGACAAGAATATATTTGAAAAAATAACGACCAAAATGTTTCTAAATTTGATGAGAACTATATTATAAATCCACATGTGCAAGAACTCTAATAAAGATAAATACAAGGTAAACCACAGCAAAAAAACATAATAAAATCACTGAAAATCAGTGGGGAAAATCTTAAAAGCAGCCAGAGAGCTAGAGTTTGATACAAAGATGCTACAGAGTCTAAACGCTTTAACACAATAAATTCGAGTGTGCAATTACAGAGCACAAATGTAGATATACCTAAAACAGAACTAGATTAAGGACCAGCTGGCTAAGTAGTTGCTACAGCAGTGATTTCTAAAGAGCTCTAAATAAGCCTAGAAATGCAACAAAAATGGAGAAAAATTTACTAGTATTCCTCTAAGGAATAAGTAATTAAAGGGTAGGAAGAAACAGTTTGATAAGGTACCTGGAGTTCAACCTCAGTTGACCAGCAGCATCCATTGCAAAGGACCACAAAACTGCGTCTAAGGAGGGTGCATCCAATTAACTGCAGAGCTTTTGTTCACTGAGTGGGTTATTCAAGTTTAAGGGCCACAGCAAAACTACTTAGACTGATACAGAAGCTAGGTGCTGCTACCCAACATTTTTATTTCTCTGTCCTCATCCTTTTCCCCCCAAAATGTTGAATGTATATTTAAAACATAACCATTTGAAGGAGGACCAAATTATCCACCTGCCTGGAACACCAAGCTCTCCTGGTCCACAGTTGTGTCAAGTCGTAACAAAAGCAGCTGTATACGTCTAAATATGATTCTAATTGATCTCTTTCCCTCAATTTGACATTTATCCCCTCTGCAAGAATACCAACTGCTTAAAAGCCACTGATATGTTGTGGGGGGGGGGGGTTCTTTCAAATACCAAAGAGTATTTAAGTTTACCCATTGTCCTTTATCTCCTTGAAGTTTACTGAAGAACAGCTTTAGTTCTCGAACTGTCAAATTGTAGCTAGCCAGCACTCCCAACATGTCAACTAAAAGATCTGGAAACAGAGAAAACAATATAAAAATTAAGCTACTTGTATTTCTTGAAAAATTAAAATATACTGATACACTGTGGTTACTTAAGAGTTTGGACACTAAAGTTCCAGGTACATGTTAAATGCTCAAATACTTCTTAAATAAATATTATTTTATAAAATAAGAAAAATAGAGTACTTAAGAATCAAAGTTCATTTCTTCACATCCATCATAGTATAGAAAGTCATACCTGCTATCATATTGTCAACTTTTTCAATTTTCCCAAGCACTTTTTCAACAAGGCCTACTTCAGTGCAGACTTGAAGATTTCGTATACTTTTCTTCAGAATGGCTGTAAACATGCTCCAGACTTCTGCTTGGCAAGTAACGTCACATTTTTCAAGGAGGTCCACCATGCAGATGATACTCTCACCTTCTTGAATAATGAAATTCATTTCTAAATCAAACTGTCCTCCTACCAGCTTCCAAGGAGGGGGGAAAAGAAACATTAAAAGTATTAGTACATATTCAGTATAACTAGAGTATACTGCTAAGCTTCAGATTGGCAGTAACCACCCATATACATTCTTCTCTACCCCTACAACAATAAAAAGATCTTACACACGTACACACACACACACACACAGCTCTAAAAAATAAAGCTTCTAAAGAAATATTCAAGTTAAGATAGCACAAAGTCAGGCAAGACTTAGAATATAAAAATGGAGATATTTTTCAACAAAAACAAATACAGGATGTCATAGGAAAATCACTATCTACTGCCCTGATACTAATAAAGATCTAATTTAGCTCCATAATTGCTTCTAATTCAATATTTTGTCTATGAATTAGGAAGTCTGTGAGCTACTCACAGCAACCTAAAGGTCCTTTGCACACTCTACAAGGTATGGGCTCACAGCAAGAACGAAAAGCTGAAAAAGGCTCAGAGTAAACATAAAACTGACAGTTTTTATTTGTCAAGTTCTTGGTTTATTGCACCTATCCATTTTGATCCCCTTGGTCAATAATCAGCATACCTTAAATCTAACTTAAACTTAGTCACACACTCAAAGTCAGGAACCAAGAAAACTTATTTCACTGATACTATCAGAAAATCCATCCAGAGAAAGCTATACTGACCTGTTCCTATCTTGCCAACTCACACACAGCTTCCCACAGAGGGCAAGTGCTATTAATTTTAACAAACTCCAATGGTTTAAAGTAAAACACTTTTAGAATTGCCTTTGCAGGTCTATCTTTTTGAACTGATATTTTTAAAGGCAGACAATTTTATTTACTAGTTTTATTTATTTATTTTATTTTTAGATGAGGTACTGGGGACTGAACCGAGGACTTCGTGCATGCTAAGCAGGTGCTCTTGAGCTATAACCTCCCTCCGAATTGATTTTTTTTAAAGATCTCTGTCAGAAAGTTACATGCATGATTCACCTACCCTCCTGTCCTTCTGAATATGTCTTTGTTCAGTATGCTTTCTTAAACCCAAAAGGTAGGCCAGAATTGGAAAAAATGAACTTTACAAACAAAATCCAACAGCTCATAACATAACAGACATGAACAAATAGAGTTTACTCTAGAAAAAGCAAAGACAGTTCAGAATTAGGAAACCAATTAAAAGTCCTTGCAGCCAGGGATCAATATGCACCCCAGGTTCTGTTAAAGACACACATTGGCATGCAAAAGAAGGAGTGGAAAAATGAACAAGAGGAGTAGCAGTATCTGCATGCAGGGAGCTAAGAACACCTGGCAAGCACAGTGGTAAAGGCTTTTGGTTCTTCTAGGAAAGCTTTGGCAGAGATTTTAGTGTACAACTCTTTGCATCATCAGTAACACGCAGCACAGGGAGCTGACAGCTGGTTTCTGCTAAAAGAGTCCCTTGGCGTGACCAGGCCAATCCTCCTGGCTACACGGTCCTGGCTGTGAAGTATGTGTGCCTGGTTCCCGAAGCACACCTCAAAATTCTATAAACTATGTAAGAATTCTAGAAACTTGTTTTTTTGCTTTTGTGGCCATTTGTGACTACTATTCGCTTGTTTTGTCTTTAACTTTTTATTCTGAAATAATTCCAGGCATTTTAAAAAATGCAAAATAGTACAGAGTTCCTGTGTACCTTTACTCAGCCTTCCCTAATATGAGTATATTACATACTCACAGTACAATCATTAAAACCAGGTACAAATACTACAGATCTTACTCAAATATTGCCATTTATCATACTAATGCCATTTTTCAGATCCAGGATCAACATCCCCTTAGTGTCTTCTCCAAACTGAGACAGTCGCACACGCATTCTTTGACTTTCATGATTTGGACATTTTTTGAAGTGTATTTGCCAGTTATTTTACAGACTGTCTTCCAATCTGAATGTATATGTCTAAATTCAAATTAAGCAAAAGTATCACACAAGTGATGTGTGCCCTTCTCAGGGTATTTCTGATGGTAACTGATGCCAGTTATGTCTCACTACTGATAAAGCTAGTAGCTTTGATCACATGCTTAAGGAGGCATCTGTCATATTTTTTCCATTTTAAAGATACTGTCTTTCATTTTTAAATTGTTAATTATTAAGCCACATTTAGTCAAAAGGCAGCAACATGTATAAATATCAGGAGAGAGGACTTACACTCCAATTATTTTCAGATGATATGATATATATCTGGAAAACTGAAAAATTACTATAAATGAGAAAAGTATTTGGTAATGGAACTACTGATTAGTTAACAACATGAATCAATATCAAAAGAATTATGCTAAATAGAAGCCAGACACAAATGGCTACCTTAACGACCACTAAAAATGTATTCCACAGACACATTTTGGTAATGATGCTACATACAAGAACTGCACTTTAGCATTTCTATGGGAACGCAGAAAAAACAATACCCCCCTAAAAAAGCTATAATCTAAAGTCAGTAAAGTTATTTAATTCTATAATAGAATACGACACATTGAAAAGAATGAGGCAACCCCATCTGACATAAAAAAAGATCTCTGAAATATATTGTTTAAGTGAGAAAAATCGAAGTGGAAAAAAGCATGAACAGTAGGTTACAATTTGAGTGTAAAACATATACATATAGATATATATCTAAGAATGCTACACCAGAAACTAAATTGTGATTACCTCTGAAAAGGCAACTGAGCATCTGGGGAAAGAGCACAAGGGCAGGGTTTTTAGTATATATACACTTTGGGGCATCCTTCACACAGATCAAAATAGGTCAAAGACCTAGTTGCAACTAACTTAAGAGACCTTACCTTCACCTTAATACCACTTACATCAATCTTTCATTTTGATCTGTGTTTATTACCATCAGTAACCACCCTCCCAAGAAGCTATAGAATTAATTTTTCAAAGTAATTTCCAAAAAACCTCCAAATATTTCACCAGCTTTTAAATTGAGTTTATACTGTGAGAGCAGTATCCAGACAGGTGTTTTAAATATTTCTCCATTGCTTTAAATATCATAAAATATGGCTTTCAAGGAGAAAATTGATGGCAGAAATTGGTACATACAAATATGTGGCATATTTGATATACTATATGTATGCATATCTATTATACCTAAAAAGCATGCACAGGGTCTACAGTATGTCATGTTAACCCTTTCTAATAGTTATTTGAATTTGATCAACCTTCAAAACACAAATTTGTTTCCAATGACAGGGATCATAATCCAGGTCCAGGCATTGGCTAGTTATTATCTGAGCTGTAGTAATGGCTGTGCACTACAAAATGTAATCTTCCCGAATGTCACAGTAAGTTATGAATATCTGAGCAGCCTAATGCACCTTACTAGCCATGAAATGTGAAAATGTAATCTTATTACCTTTTTTTATGGTTGTATTTTTTTTGAATAATGTAGCCTGGAAACTGATGTATAGTCTCTTTCTGCATTTTAGCATGATTTGGTCTCCTTTGCGATATAGAACATTTTTCAAAACTCTCCACTTCAACATATTTTAGTCTTGGCCTGAACTTCATAAACAATTTTTATAGCCACCTTCAGGGTGGCATAACATGCTTTCTATAGGTTATAGTTTAATGTACAAGATTATAGAAATTTTAAAGCCTATTACTCAAAGAATCTAAATAAACCTTCAGAAGTTTTGTATAGGGACTGTAATTGGGCACAATGAGCATTTTCTTCACAATGATTATATTAATAAAAGGCTTTAAGCTGAAATTAGCCACTAAGCCTAAGCCACCAGTATTTTCAAAAAGCCAAAAAACAAATTCAGATCAGAAATAATTATCTTCTCTTCAAAAGGTTTATAAAACTGGAAAGACTCCTATACACAGAAAATTCTAATACTTCAAAGGAAAGCTATGTTTTCCCTGGAAACTTGCTAAATTCTTCCTCAGAGATGTAGCAGGAGCACTGGACAGAGCATAATCACAGCTTACGCCTCTAACTAGGTAGTTTCTGCTTCTTGTGACAAATCAGCTTTTTTTCTTTGGACCTGTCTATTCATTTATAAAATGAACTAAATAGTTAGCTTTATTTATTTACATTCTTCAAAAATGTATTGACTTTTTTAAAATTCCAATCTCAAGGAATCCAATTTATCCCTAAGAACCCATTCTTGCATGAATGTGACCCTATACCTGTTTACAGTCACTTGAAACTTATTAATAGGGAGAAACTGAAGAAAAATTACATTCTGACACAAACTGCAATGTGTCTCAATTTACATTTTCTTCTCCTTCCATAGTAACAGTACTAGTTTGGTACCTGGGGCCCAGGCGAAGTATCTCACTTCCCAGCTTTCCTGACGTTACAGCCATGTGACCACGTTCTGACCAAGGACAGGTAGTAATATATACAACCCTGCATATTACTCTTAAAAGGAGCTAACTTTTTTAAATTGAAGTATAGCTGATTTACAATGTTGTATTAGTTTTGGGTGTATAGCAAAATGATTCAATTACACATATATACATTCTTTTCCATTATAGGTTATTACAAGACATTGAATATAGTTCCCTGTGCTATACAGCAGGTCCTTGTTGTTATCTATTTTATATATAGTAATACGTATATGTTAATCCCAAACTCCCAATTTATCCCTTCCCTCAACCCCTTTCCCCTTTGGTAACCAAAGTTTGTTTGTTAAGTCTATGAGTCCTATTTCTGGTTTGAAAGTAAGTTCATTTGGGTCTTTTTTTTTTTTTTTAGATTTCACATATAAGAGATATATGCTATCTGTCTTTCTCTGCCTGACTTACTTTACTTAATATGATCATCTCTAGGTCTATCCATGTTGCTACAAATGGCATTATTTCATCCTTTTATATGGCTGAGTAATATTCCATTGTGTGTGTGTACACTAATATATATATTAATACACACACATCTTAAAAGGAAAAAACAATTTCTCTTTACAACTTTCCTCCTTCCTGTTACATAGATACTGAAATGATGGCAAGAGCTAGGGTAGTCACCTTGGAATGTCTGCTGAA